AGGATATTATGGGGGTACAAATATTTTGGTTACATGAAATGCATTTGCCTCGCTCAAGCCAGGGCTACAAGCAGGTCCTTCCCCCATACAGTGTGCCCCGTTTCCATTAGCTGTGAGTTTACTCCCCCACCTCCTCTACCAATTGTGTTGATGGCCGAACAACTCTGTATGTTAAAAAATAACACACTACACATATTTATATATCAAGTAAAATATAAAATGTTGACCATTCTCTAATATCAGAGCACATTATGTTAACCTACTTAAAAGTACAATTTAATGAGGATAATTTCATTAACTCTGAGAAGAACTCAGAAATGAAAGAGATACAGGAAGAATAAACTGATTTAAATAATATGACAAGCCAATCAAAATATATGTTCTTACCACTTCACAAGTTGGCATAACAAGGTTTTCACAATTACATTCTAAAAGGCAAAAACCAACAACATATTTAGTACATTGATCAAAATATATCAACTTACTTGAATAAAATTTTAATATGAAAATTAGTTACCACAACGCCATGTTGGACAACAATGACCAGATACATTTTCTTTCACAAGATTCATGTCTTCTGCACAGGTGAGTAGTGGCATAGGACAAAGATTTGGCTCACAAACTAAAAAGAAAAATAACATGGATAAAGATTGATTTCATGTAACTGCCATTTCTCATTACCCACCATTTAGTTCACTGCCATAACCGATGTAGTGCGTGAATTCATATTTCCCAAGTGCTGCCTCTCCCACTGTCTGATTGCCATGTGTTGGTGAAGATAAAAGGAATGACTTATAAGCAGGTGCAACAAGAGTAGTAATGCGGGAACAGTTCATCAAGTGAAGAACACTGAAAAAGGGTCTGGTATCATGGCACAACTAATGTGCACTGAACTCCTTAAACATTGGACACTTCTAAATATTTTAAATTAGTTAAGATACACTTACCACAGTAATACTGAGGACAACAGAAGTGTGTGGTGTTAAGATCCACTGTGAGAAATTCCCCATTGGTACATAGTGGAATAGGTTCAGTGCAAGATTCACAAACTAAAGGTGAAACAAAAAGCCAGAAGTCATAGCTGAACTAAAACAAATTAATTATTAATCCAGATTATCATAGACAAATCAAATCAAAATAAAATGCATCATGTTTAATACAATAGGAAATAAGGGAAATAAGACATATCTTCTTATTTGGTCATAAAAGCAATAACACTGTCTGAGTATATTGCTTTATGTTTTCCAAGCACAATGACATATAGAACACCATCTTATCAGAAAGATAGAGCATTCAGATTTCCAGGGTAATTTGTTCTCACTAGGATCAAAATATCATTGATTTATTTATTTAAGTTTTCTTAATTCACTACCCTTGATTACTCCAATTTATGGATGAACAATGTAGTAGGCACTTGTTCTTTTGGGCTGCTCAGTATCCCCTCCCAACTTTGATATCAACTCTCTGAATGACCATGAGGAAATGCCTCACCCACATAGTCCTGGAGTAACTGTCAATAGGGTGCCTCACACCACTAGGCCACTGTGTAGGAACAACCCACAATGGACTAATCAGAATTGCTTTCAATGGAATTTGAATCACTTGTAGAGGAACACCAGGATAAGAAATAGATGGCGTTGGCTCAATCCTTAGAGATCTCCACCTTGAGCATCTGGTTCTCTCCTTCCTAGGGCTTGTCTGCTCTGCTTTATCTTGATTCTTTCTCGAAGCCTTCCAATAACTGGTTGTGCTTAAGCTGGCCAGAAACAATGAGCTTTACTGTTTGCAGTAAATGAACCTTAACTGATTCAAAGGCATGTGTTTTGATTTTGTCTAAGCATTTGACAAAATACAGCACCCTTTTATGATAAAAACTCTCAATAAACTAGGCATAGAAGAAACACATCTCAAAATTATAAAAGCCATATATGAGAAACGGTCAGTATGATGTTTCTCATATATTGAATGGGAAACATCATACTGAAATGGGGAAAAGTTGAAAACATTCCCCCTAACAAGTGGAACAAGATAAGGATGCCCACTGTCACCACTTATATTCAACACAGTGCTGGAAGTCCTAGCCAGAGCAATCAGACAAGAGAAAGAAATAAAGGGTATCCAAATCGGGAAAGAGGGGGTCAAATTATCACTTTTTGCTGATGATATGATCTTGTATCTAGAAAATCCCAAAGACTCCGCCAAGACACTCCTATAATTGATAAATAAATTCAACAAAGTCTCAGGTTACAAAATCACTGTATGCAAATCAGTAGCATTTCTATATATCAATAAACAGTAAAGCTGAGAATCAAATCAAAGACTCAATACTATTCACGATAGCTACAAAGAAAATAAAATGCTTAGGAATATACTTAACCAAGGAGGTGAAATCTACCTTAACTATCAAAAAATCTTTGATATTTCATTTGATATGGAAAATAGGGAATCTTTACTTTTCATTGTCCAGTTCACCAGATAGAATATTTAGCTCCAGTCATTTCCCAGACATCCTTTGTTTCTACCATTCTCTTTTGAAGACAAAGTTTTAAAGAGGTCCTATACTGTCTCAGCTGAGCCCATTATTCTAACTGATTCTTCAAGAAAAGCCAGTGTTAAATTTTTCTTCAAAAAGAACTAGGCATTGGGGAAAAAAACTCGATTTTATATCTTGTCCATGTTTGGGCTGATGTAGTCTTTGTTGAAAGGGGAAGTTACTGATTGTAATTAATTGCCAAGAGTCATTTAAAATGTCATACTTTATTTTCTACAGTTCTTGTTCAGTTGAATTCCAATGAGTATAACATTAAAATATTGTTTAACATCAGTCCCATGAAATTCACATCAAGTAAGAGATTTTCCCTAGATCATCCATCTTCTTTCCAGAAATTATCTCCAGAATACTCACTACAGACAGGGGAAAAACAGCAAGGTTCTTCCTGTTGAACTTGAATCATGAATTGGTCTTCTCTGCATTCTGGTGTTGAAATATTGGGGCATTTCAATGGGTCACATTCTGCATAAATCGAAAGATATTTGACAATTTGTATAGAGCGAGATGATCTTTGAATTT